ATACAGTTGAAATGACAAACTTTGTTCAATATATTTTACCGTAATAATTTTTCTAAAAAAGAGAGACTATTGAATGGTGCTCTCCAGACTGTATGACTTCAAAGAGAGGGGTGGGCGGGCACAGCAGTCAGTGGTCACAGAATCTGTCCAAAGTTTGGCTATATAAAAACGTAAAATTTCTATATGCCAAAATAGACCATAAACTCCAGAAAAAAATTACAAATAAAAGGACAGCTAGTACAGACAGGACTCCTGGTGTGGCGCTGTGGGTTAATGCACCAGACTGCAAAGCCGTTTGAACTGTAAGGTTGGTGGTTCAAGCTCCTCAGAAACCCTATACAGGGTCACTATGGGTCGGAGCTCTGATAGCATAGTGGTTACGGATCGGGCAGCAAACCACAAGGTCAGCAGTTCGAAACTACCAGCTGTTCTGTGGGAGAACGATGAGGCTTTCTGCTCCCATAAAGATTTACAGTCTCGGAAACCCTGTACAGGGTCACTATGAGTCAGAACCGACTCCACGGCCCAACCACCACCATGGGTCGGAATCGACTCCACGGCACTTCACAGCAAAACAGCAACAGTACAGACGGAACAGTACTCCTTAGTAGTCAAGATGGCGAGACTTTGTTTCTCATACTTCGGACCTGTTATCAGGAGGGACTAGTCCTTGGAGAAGGACATTGTGCATAGTAAAGGGGGGGTGGGGTCAGTGAAAAAGAGGAAGACCCCAATGAGATGGACTGGCACAGTGGCAGCTGCAATGGGCTCAAGTTTAACAAATGCGAGGGCAGTGTTTCGTTCTGTTGTGCACAGGGGTTGCTATGAGTCGGAGCCGACTAGACAGCACTTAACAACAGTCTAATCGATGGTGCAGGAGCGGCTGGTGAGTTTGAACCGCCGACCCTGCAGTTCAAACTGACCTTGCAGTTCAGTGCTTTACCCCACAGCACCACACCAGGACTCCAGTCGAATCTACTATTCTTGTTAAGGGCTGTCAAGTCCATTTTGACTTACAGTGACCCTACCTACCTAGGGCTTCTGAGGAGCGGGCTAATCTATAGAGCCCTTACGATTAATAAGAGAAACAACAATCATGAAGAAAAAGCATGACAAGGTAATTCACAACTGAGTAGCCAATAAGCATATGAAAAAACTCATCCCCATAAGTAATGTCAACTGAATTATACAGTTGAAATGACAAAGCCTGTTTGTCAGACATGGGGCAGGTAAGTCTGGGGCAGGAGTCCTGGTGGGGCGCTGTGGGTTAATACGTCAGACTACAGAGCCATTTGAACTGCAAGGTCGGCGGTTCAAGCTCACTAGCTGCTCCTCGGAAGCAGACCTATACAGGGTCGCTATGGGTTGGAACCAACTCAACAGCACTTAACAAGTCTGGTGGAAGCACAAGATGTATGTCAGGAATTACGAGGCAGGAAGTCTGGGATTTCAGTCCGGAAGGTGGACTTCACATTCAGGAACTTAGAAGTAATGGTGACATATTTTACTTTTCAAGTAAGCAGGCAGTGTGGTCAGAGCAATGTTTAGAATCAAACCGGCAGGGAAATTCATATCAACTGGAATGGAGAAAGCAAAAAAGCAGGAAGATGAGTCACATGGCTACTGCAACAGTCTAACTTAAGGTCAGGACAGGGCCTGGATGAGGGGGCTAGAGACGGAAGGGAAAGCAAGGGGACCCTGAAAGACGGGTGGTCTTGGTGCCGGGCTCTAGGAGGAGGCTCAAAGCTAGTGAGGTTCCAGGTCAGGACAAGACAACTCAATTGATGGTTCTGTCCAACTCCTCCCTGCTTCCTCTCAACACTGAAGCCGCAGTCTGTGGCAGACACAGAGGAGAACAGACTGACTGGCAGTGCCTTGCTGCGGAGTCAGGTTTCAGCCATCCATCATGCACTTGAAGTGGCAGGGGAATAACTGAACGGGCGCCACCAGGAGGCAGTCACGTGAGCTGAGAGAGAAGTGCTCCAGAGATGGCGCTACACACACAGACTGGAGAACCACCAGACACGTGGGAACTACACACATGGTTAGGATTTCTTTGGCAGGAAGGTAAAGAGAACAAGAGAGCCTAACTGACCTTAGACAATATTATGATTCAGGACACAGAAGACACCTAATGAAGTCCAAGAATCAAGAAATAAGACAAACCCAGATTAGTGCAACCTCTTAAAGGAGCTCTAGTAGCGTAGTGGTTAAGAGTCGGGTTGCTAACCTCACTCAAGGTCAGCAGTTCGAAACTACTAGCTGTTCCGCGGGAGAAAGAAACCCTCAGAAACCCTGTACAGGGTTGCTAGGAGTCAGAACCAACTCCACGGCACATAACCACTACCACCACAATAGTATGGAGTCCTGATGTGGCGCTGTAGGTTAATGCGCTGGACTGCACGATCGCCTGAACCACAAGGTCAGTGGTTCAAGCTCACCAACCACTCCTTGGAGACCCTATACAGGGTTACTATGGGTTGGAACCGATACATAATAGTAGTGGGTGGAATGTAAATAAATGAACTCGAAGCTGGATAACATGGTTTCCTGTCCAGCTCTGCTACTTCAAACCTGACCTCACCAAGCCTCCACACCAGCCCCACCTACCTCACAAGCTGGTAGGAGGCGTGGAGGAAAAAAGACAGTGTTTTATCCCACAGTGCCACACCAGGAGTCCAACTGCAAAAGTAGTTGTAGCCAGCGAGGGGAGGGAGGGGAAGGTGGAGCACAGGGTAGGGAATAGACACATGATAGTTTGGGTGTTGGGTGGATGGATGGGGAGACACAAAACACAAGAAGGGAGAGGGGAATAGAAGAATAAGGCAGATGGGAGAACACTTAGGCAGGTTTGCATGGGCTAACCTGGAACAGAGGTACATTGTATGTTCAACCTTGAACAACAGGGCTCTGCAATACAGGGATTGAGGCATGGTGCATGGTTTCCAATGGATAAAAGAGTGGAAAGAATGTTAAGATGTTTGACTGTCTTATGAATCTTGGTTTCCCTTGCCTACTATTATAAAACAGACACTTGAGGGGGAGAGAAAGGAATAGCCAGAAACATCACTATAGAAAGCTTGTAAGTTTGTCTTTAGCCTATAACTAATTGTTGTTATTGTTGTTGTTAAGTGCCATCGAGTTGATTCTGACCCATAGGGACCCTGTATAGGGCTTCCAAGGAGCAGGTGGTGAGCTTCAACCAACTACATTGAATTTCAAATGACACTGCTGTCTGACGCATTAGTCCACAATAGCAGGCCTGCAGAGCCTTTGCATTGCATAAGACCTTAGGGGGAATCCTGATCCCCATCCAGAATCCTCTGAGATGGGAAATTTCCACTTGAAAGGACAAGAAGATCAGCCTGAAGCAGCTAGAGCAACAGAAGATACTTCTTGAAAGAAAGACCAGCAGGAAAAATCAAGAACAGTAACAGGCAGTCTGATTAACTACTATAAGAACAAGCAAGTTGTTCCCTGGGGAGCAATCAACGCAAGCAATCAAGTCCCCTCAGGGTAAACCCCCTTCCAAGACTAAAACTAAAAGGGAATACACAAGCAGACATGTAATCTTGGTGGTCTACTGATAAGGGGAAGTGGGGGGGGG